ACGGATGGTTTGCTCTAGTCATAGTCCGTGCGAATGAACAATCTACCCATGGAAATGCGCAAAACTGGTTTTCTAAGGAAATCTGAACAGGAGGAACAATGCTAATCATTTGGATGCATTGATTGCGGTATTTATGATACTTTTGACAATAAGATATCTAAAGTAAGATAAGACTAAGATATCTCTTTCACGAGGCTGGAGTGAAATTGAGTTCAAGATTGTCCCTAGAATCATCCTGGGTATGGGTCGTTCACAAAGATTTGAGCTTGGTTCGGAAATTTGAGTACTAACACTCGCGATGTGTTGAGCATTGAGGCACATTACTCGGGAATCAGAACTTCCGGTCTTTCAAGGATAGAAGAGCTTGCTCGCAAATCTGCTAGGAATCAGAAAAGGAGGTCGTATAGAATGGATAAATTAACGGGTACAGCTGGTGGTTGAGTCCACATTACACTCTCTTCAGAAACAATTTCTCAGCAGCGCAAATTTAAACAAACCAAACTACAGCAATAACCAACAGCGCACTACCATAACCAAAGGGCATTGCAATTCGTTCTACACAAATACCTTACCATTAGGAAATCTGATTTTTCAAAATTTTACACTTATCGAGAAGGACCAAGTCTTAGACCGCAATCCAAATGACTAACCTCAATTAGAGAGATCAGATCCCTCGGACCGATGACTGAGGGGGAGAACTCGACTGTGGCTAGAGACGTAGCAAGAGAAACGTTACAGCCTTCCACGCCCGTTTTCGAGATCACGTGCGATTCAATGCGATTCACGTCTGCTTCGCTGTTCAAACCACCAATCTGAAAAAAGATTGATCAAAACTTTAAGGCACATGACTGGTGAAAGTTTTCAATGTACCGTCAAATGGATCTTGTTGAAAGCCGAAAACGGTGAGTCGATCAGACTGGCGCGATAGCCTAGCGCCGTCATCTCGGCGATCAGTTTTTCCACACTGGTCAACGACGGATTATAGTTGATTTCGGCCTTGCCGGCTATCAATGCTACTACCACAGACTGTACACCTGCAACAAATGGGTTGGAGAAGAACAAATCGGAAGGCTCAGACCGGAAAACGAGGTTCAAAAAAGGCGTTATCTATTCAAGTGAATCAGTTACAGAAGTTCCATTACAAACTATGAAAATTGTGATAGTAACATCGCAACTGCTG